TCCGAAAAATACGCTATGTGCAAAGCTATCCAATAAAATGTTTATCATTTTAAACAAAATAAATATCCAACAATAGAGGAATAATTAAAATATGTGATTCTAAAGTCACATTATGTACGTAATCATTGAAAGTATGGATTTCGAAGAACTTTTTATTTTTTAATATTTTAAATATTTTATTTGTTTTTTTAGAAAGTGGGGAAGGGAGAAAGAGAGGGAAAGAAACATCAATGTGTGGTTGCCTCTCACATGCCCCCTCCCCCCCCACTGGGGACCTGGGCCACAAAGCAGGTATGTGCCCTGACTGGGAATCAAATTGGCAACACTTTGGTTCGTAGGCCAGCACCCAATCCCCTGAGCCATACCAGCCAGGGCTTAAAGAATTGAAGAATTTTTTAAATGATAGGAAGAGATGCCCAAGACACAATACTAAGTTTAAATAAGGAGAGACTATGAAACTGTATCTTGATCTAAAACATACATGTTGCATGTTCACAGCTATGGCCAAGTAGCAAGCACTGTCCAACCATCTGTTTGGAGCAGCCACTGGAAAAGGACTGCAGAAGAAAGAGGCACTGGAGAGGAAGCAGGCAGCCAGACTTAAGAGGCCAGCCAAGACTCCAGACAGGAGGAGAATGCTCTGATGTAAGCCCCAATTTAGAAGATCTAACCTTGGGGTTTCGACAGGCTGGGGATTCTGGAGTATCAAAGTGGCCAATTTATCATGAAGGGCCAAAAATCCTGAAGAAAGTAATAGCAGGGAATTAGGTTTAAATTCAACCTGCAATTTTCCTTAGAGTTATTGCTAATCCCCAAACTGTGTATACATGAAGTTAGAGCCAGATAAATCATGCAGGAAAAGATACTCTTGTTGTCTTGCCAAGCTAGAGAGACAAAGCTGTAGTTAACAGATGTGGCCTTCAAAATAATTATATGTTCAGTAAAAAAAAAAAAAAAAAAAAAAAGGATAGAGAATTTTATTGGAAAACTAAAAAAATATATTTTTGATAAGCACATGAAAAATCTAGAACCTAAAAACATAGTATCTGAAAATACAAATTCAACAGATGGATTTAGGGCAGATTAGAGACTGCAAAAGAGAAGATCAGGGAATTTGAATATAGCAGGAACTATTCAGACTAAAGAGGAAAAAATGGGAAATACAGATGAGCATAACAGTTATGTTAGGAATGGTGAGAGGCCACACATTAAAGTCATTGGAGTCACAGTAGGAGAGGAGAAAGACTACACTATTCAATCTATTTTAAGAAACAGTGGCCTAGCCCTGGCTTGTATAGCTGAGTGGATTGATCATAGGCCTGCAAACCAAAGGGTTGCCAGTTCGAGTCCCAGTCAGGGTACATGCTTGGGTTGTGGGCCAGGTCCCCAGTAGGGGATGCACAAAAGGGAACCACACATTTGCTCCCTCCCTTCCCCTTCCTTTCTCTCTAACAATAAATAAATAAAATCTTTTAAAAACAGCCCTAGAATTATCTAAAACATTAAAAACATCAAACCACAAAATCAATGAAGTCTATAAACCTTAAGAAGGATAAATGTAAAGAAAATTAAATAGGAGCAAATTATGGTAAAACTGCTGAGATCCAAAGAAAAAGAGGTCCAGAAAAGACACATTATCTTTAAAAGAAAAAATTTAAGCCCAGGAGCTATTTTTTCAACAGAAACAAAGGGCAGAATAATGTTATTTTTTAAGTGCTAAAAGAAAATAACTGCACTTCAGTACTACACTCAGTGAAAATATCTTTCAAGAAAATTAAAGTGAAATAAAAGACATTTTCCGTCAAACAAAATCTGGAAAAAATGAATGATGGAAGACACCTACACTCATCCATACTCATACCTGAATACTCTGTCTCTGTAAAATAAGTTATTTGGGCAGAAGGAAAAGATTCCGGATGAAAACATGGCAAAGCAGTAAGAATTGAGGAGTACTAGAGAATAAATATGTGGAAAATTTCAATGTCCAGAAAGTGTTAAGAGGCACTGATTCAGGACTTTCAGCCAAGATGGAGGTGTAGGTAGACATACTGTGCCTCCTAACACAACCAAAAAAAGGACAACAAATTTAAAACAACAAACAACCAGAACTGCCAGAAAATCGAACTGTATGTAAGCCCAACAACCAAGGAATTAAAGAAGAAACATTCATCCAGACTGGTAGGAGGGGGGGCAGATGGGAAGTTGGGTGGAGAAGAACTGAGGCAAGGTAGTGGCTGGCAGGCAGGGCAGTCCCACATTTACATGTAGATAAACTGGGAGGAACAACTGAGGAGCAAGACAGACTGTACAACCCAGGGATCCAGTGTGAGGAAATAAAGCCTGAAACCTCTGACTGAAAATACCTGTGGGGGTTGAGGTGCCAGTGGGAGAAACTCCCAGCCTCACAGGGGAGTTTGTTGGAGAGACTCACAGGGTCCCAGAATGTACACAAATCCACCCACCTAGGAACCAGCACCAGAAGGGCCTAATTTGCTTGTGGGTAGTAGGGGAAGTGACTGAAAACCGGCAGAGAGCAGAGCAAGCAGCACTGCTCCCTCTCGGACCCCTCCCCCACCTACAGCATCACAACAAATTGACGTGTGTTGCCCACTCTGGTGAACACCTAAGGCTCTGCCCCTTCCTACATAACAGGCACGCCAAGACACACACAAAAAATGTCCCAAATGAAAGAACAGATCCAAGCTCCAGGAAAAATACAACTAAACAATGAAGAGATAGCCAACCTATCAGATGCGCAGTTCAAAACTCTTGTTATCAGGATGCTCCAGGAACTCACTGGATACTGCTAGAGCATAAAAAAGACCCAGGAGACAATGAAGGTTGCATTATGTGAAATAAAGAAAAAGCTACAGGGAACCAACAGTGACAGGAAGGACACCAGGACTCAAACAGTTTGGTGCAGAAGGAAGAAGTAACATTCAACCAGAACACAATGAAGAATTCAAAAAAATTAGGAGAAGCTTAGGAACCTCCAGGACACATCTTTAAATGTTCCAATATCCAAATCACAGGGGTGCCTGAAGGAGAAGAGAAAGATCAAGAAATTAAAAACTTATTTGAACAAATAATGAAGGAGAACTTCCCCAATCTGGCAAAACAAATACAGGAAATACACTTTCAGGAAGTCCAGGAAGCTCAGAGAGTCCCAAAGAAGTTGGACCCAAGGAGGTACACACCAAGACACATCATAATCACATTATTACCCAAGATTAAAGAGAAAGATTCTTAAAAGTAGCAAGAGAAAAGCAGACAGTTACCTACAAAGGAGTGCCCAGAAAATTAACAGCTAATTTCTCAAAAGAAACATTGCAAGCAAGAAGGAGCTAGAAAGAAGTACTCCAAGTCATGAAAGGCAAAGACCTACATCCAAGATTACTCTATCCAGCAAAGCTAACATTTAGAATGGAAGGGCAGATAAAGTGCTTCCCAGATAAGGTCAAATTCAAGGAGTTCATCAACACCCAGCCCTTATTATATGAAATGTTAAAGGGACTTATCTAAGAAAAAGATAAAAATATAAACAGTAAAATGACAATAAACTGATAACTATCAACAACTGAACCTAAAAATACGAAACAAAACCAAAAATGAACTAGGCAAACAACTAGAACAGAAATAGATTCACAGAAATAGAGATCACATGGAAATTATCAGTGGGGAGGTGGAGGGGGAAGGATGGGGGAAAAGGTTCATGGAATAAGAAGCATAAATGGTAGGTACATAATAGACAGGGGGAGGTTAAAAACAGTTTGGGAAATGGAGAAGCCAAAGAACTTACATGTAATACCCATGGACATGGGCTAAGGGGAAAGGGGGAATGCTGGTGGGGGTAGGGGAGGGATGGGGCGGTACAGGGTGATAAAGGGGAGAAAAAATGGGACAACTGTAATAGCATAATCAATAAAATATATTTAAAAAAGAGATTAATATCCAAAATATGAAGAGAACTTCTAAAATTCAACACAAAAATCCTGATTAAAATTGGGCAAAGGTCTTAATACATTTCTTCAAAGGAGATATATGAATGACCAATAAACACATGAAAAGATGCTGAACATTACTGATCATCAGGGAAACACAAAACAAAACCACAATGAGCTATGACCTGACACTCACTAAGATGGCTACTATTAAAAAAACAAAGACAAAAAATACAGAAAATAACAAGTGTTGGTGAAAATTTGGAGGAATGGGAAGCTTTGTGCACCATTAGTGGGGATGTAAAATAGTACATATGCTGTGAAAAACACTATGCCTCAAAAAATTAAAAATAGAATTACTACATGATCCACCAATTCAACTTCTGGGTATACACCTAAAAGAACTAAAAGTAGTCTTATAGAGATATTTGCTCGCTGGTATTCATAGCAGCATAATTTACAGTAACTAAAATATGGTAGCAACCCAAGTGTCTATTGACTGATGATAACAAGTTGATGGACACTTATTAAGCATAACATGACATATACAAACAATGGACTATTAGTCAGCCTTAAAAGAGAGGACGTTCTTCAATATGATACATGGTGAATCTTGAGGACACTCTGCTGAGCAAAACAAGCCAGTAAGAAAAAGATAAATATTGTATTATTCTACTTATATGAGGTATTTAGAGAAGTCAAAAACCACAAAGACAGAAAGTGTAATGATGGTTGTCAAGGGCTGGGGTGAGGGGAAATGGGGAGTTATTGTTTAACATGTATATAGAGTTTTACAAAATGAAGAGTTATGGAGATGGATGGTGGTGATGGTTGCACTATGTGAAGTATTTAATACCACTGAGCTGTATACTTATAAAAGAGTAAGATATAAATGTAAAAGCAACACTCCAAAGCATAAAATAGGATACTTTTTACATGGTGCAAATACGGATCAATTTTTATTTTCCTCATTATATTCCTCTGGGTTTTAATTTTCTATAGGTAAACTGTTTAAAAGTTCCAACTCCACTGTATGAAATACAGCTTTAGAAAACTTACCTGGAAGCCAGGGAATAAATGGCATTGGCAGATGCAGAAGGTTTGATTTTGGGGTGCTCACACTCTGGACCTGCTAATGGGCCACTATTTGTATTCTGGAAAGAAAAGTGTTGAAAAAGGACCTTCTTAATATAGCTATTTATCTCCTCTTATTTAACCTACTGAAAATAATAATAGGTTATTTAGACACAGACCTTTTTAAGGTCTAAATTATAAAGACATAGACCTCACTTTTAATGCCATGCTGAGGGATTATTACATCTGAAAAAGCATTGTTATTTTCAGGTTTGGAAAAAAGCTCAAATGTAAGGGGGTTAGGGAGACAGAGATCTAAAAGGAGCCAAGGACATGTGCTGCTTTCTGGTTTGTTTGTTTGTTTGTCTGTTTAATTCTAGAAAGAGTTGAGCAAATTGGCTCTCTATACAAATACCATTTCTAGCTTTAGATTTCTATATATCCTTCAACTGTGATGCCACCAGGAAGCCAAACCTAACCCACTCTCATTAATTAGACTCTCACTTAAATCTAAATTACAGCTTTCCCCCCTCCCTTGGAACACAGGGAATATTCAGTTCAATTACTGGCCACAACATTCCTCCACTTTGCCCTTCCAACTCCAGCTTTTTCTTAGATTTCCAACTATCTACTGGCTATTTCTGTTTCAATAACTCATCTCAAATTCAACATGTCTCTAGTTAGCCAGGTTCAAAACCTCGTGTGTGTGTGTGTGTGTGTGTGTGTGTGTGTGTGTATGAAAGAGAGAGAGAGAGAGAGAGAGAGAGAGACAGATGGATGGAGAGATGGAGATTCCTTGTCCTGTTTTGCACCTACTGACTGCTTTCTAGCCTTACTGAATCTTTGTTTCTCACCCTGTCAAGGCTCTACCTAATCTGGCTGCCCCCACCTGCCACAGACAACTGTTCTCCTTCCTGCTTACTTAGCACCAACTCTATTAAGGCACATTGTTATTCCTCAAACAGACCCTTCCAAACTCACTTGCTTTTCTCTTCACCATGGAATGGTCTTCCCCCAGAATTAGCATGGCTCACTCTCCCCATTGCTACAGGTCTTTGTTCAGCTCTCCCAATACCAGCTATTTTTGTGCTATTTTTTCCCACAGTACCCATCCACGACCAACATCTTGAATGTTTATTAACTTATTTTGCTTATTTTCTGTCTTTCCTCCACTAGAATGTAAACTTTATGAGAGCAAGAACTTGTGCTGAATGTGTAAATGAACCAACAAAAATATGAATATACCTCTTCCATCCCTAGTTGTGAACCCCTAATCTTATGCTTATACAATGGACTGCTAATTTGTCATTTTCAACCTATTATCTTAGCAATCCATTCTACATACTACTATTGGACTCATCTCTTTAAATCATCATTGCGGTCACGTCACTCCACTAATTTAAAACTTTCAAATGCTCTCATTCCCTACAAAATAAATTCAAATTCTGTTGGAACAGGATATTCAAAGCCCTCTAATCTAGCCCCTTTTCCTATTTTTTAAAAATATATTTTATTGATTATGCCATTACAGTTGTCCTATTCCCCCTTCATTCCCCTCCACCCTGCACACCCCTTCCCCACCATTCGCCCCCTTTAGTTTATGACCACGTGTCTCAAGTTCTTTAGAGTCTATATTTCCCATACTATTCTTGCCCTCCCCTCTATCTATTTTCTACCTACCGTCTATGCTACTTATTCTCTGTACCTTCTTCCCCCTTCTCCTCCTCCCACTCCCCTGTTGCTAACCCTCCATGTGATCTCATTTCTATGGTTCTGCTCCTGATCTAGCTGTCCTCTTAGTTTGCTTTTGTTTTAGGTGTGGTTCTTAATAACTGTGAGTTTGCTGTCCTTTCACTGTTCATGTTTTTTATCTTCTTTTTCTTAGATAAAGTCCCCTTAACATTTCATATAATAAGGGCTTGGTGATGATGAACTCCTTGAATTTGACCTTATCTGAGAAGCACTTTCTCTGCCCTTCCATTCTAAATGAAAGCTTTGCTGGATAGGTCAATCTTGGATGTAGGTCTTTGGATTTCATGACTTGGAATACTTCTTTCCAGCCCCTTCTTGCCTGTAAGGTCTCTTTTGAGAAATCCGCTGAGAGTCTGATGGGGACTCCTTTGTAGGTGACTGTCCCCTTATCTCTTGCTCTTGCTGCTTCTAGGATTCTGTCCTTCATTTTAATCTTGGCTAATGTAATGATGATGTGCCTTGGTGTGTTCCTCCTTGGGTCCAACTTCTTTGGGACTCTCTGAGCTTCCTGGGTTTCCTGGAAGTCTATTTCCTTTGCCAGATTGGGGAAGTTCTCCTTAATTATTTGTTCAGATAAGTTTTCCACTTGTGGCTGTTTCTCTTCCCCTTCTGGTACCCCTATAATTTGGATGTTGGAGTGTTTAAAGATGTCCTGGAGGTTCCTAAGCCTCTCCTCATTTTTTTGAATTCTTGTTTCTTCATCCTTTTTTGTTTGGTTGTTTCTTTCTTCCTTCTGGTCCACTCTCTTGATTTGAGTCCCAGTTTCCTTTTCATTACTATTGGTTTCCTGTGCATTTCCCTTCATTTCAATTAGTTTAGCCTTCATCTGTTCCTCTAATTTGTGGCTAAAATCAACCAGTTGTGTGAGCATCCTGATCACCAGTGTTTTGAACTGTGCATCTGAAAGTTTGGCTACTTCTTCGTTGCTTAGAGTTATTGGCTCTGGGGCTTTGAGTTCTTGAGCCATAATGTTTTGCTCTGTTCGCACCTGTTATGTATGAGGAGCGAAGTCTTAGGTGTTCACCAAGCTGGGGCCACCCATGTCGCTGATTTGTGATGCTTATGTGGGGGCAAGGTCAGAGAGGGACAATGGCAGTTCCCTCTGCCACTTCCCTCCACTGGGGCCTGCGTGGTCCGTCTCACTGCTCACTCCTTCACCGGTTTATATGCGCACGAATGTGTGACCACAGTCAGCCCTCAATGGGTCTGCTTGCTACTCCACACCTGGGATCCACCCACTGCCTGCCTGCCTGGGTCGTGCTCCGGTCAGTCTGGTGGATCTTTCCAGCTCGACCCCACTCTGCTGTTGGCTCTGCCCCTCTTACTGGTTTGGCTTAAGGGTTCGTTGTTGTCAGGCTTCCATACAGTTCAATTTTCTATGGTTTGGCTATGTTTTTGTTGCTAAAACTTTGTTGTTTTTAAACTTGGTTGTGCAAGAAGGCACAGTGTGTCCACCTATGCCTCCATCTTGACGGAAGTCCCCCTTTTCCTATTTTGATACACAAAATTTCTGCTCTACTCAAACTACTTCTCATTTTACAATACAACTTTAGGATTTCTGTCATTGTAGCTCTGATCTATCTTAAAACTGTATACACTTTGGAAAGAATACTTCAAATTCAGATGTCATCCTTTCTATAAAGCCCTCAATGTTTGCTTTATCTGACAATAATTTCTCCTTTCTCTAAAACATGTTTTTTATTTATACCACTCATAATACATAACATGCACACATGTGTACACACACTTAGTGAATTTACAAACATGCCTTAAATGCTCTATAAAAATATACATATCTTCAGGGTAGAGATTTTGTTATCTTTAAATACTATATAAAACCTATCACAAAATGCTGACCCATTAAATATTATCCACAAAAATTTGTTGTTATAGGCTAAATAATTTCAAAATCAGCCCTGGCTGGTGCAGCTCAATGGACTGAGTGCCAGCCTGTGAACTAAAAGGTCATTGGTTTGATTTCAGTCAGGCACATGCCCTAGGTTGCAGGCCAGGTCCCTAACTGGGGGCAGGTGAGAGGCAACTGATCTATGTATCTCTCGCACACTGATGTTTCTCTCCCTCTCCTTCTCCCCCCCTATAAACAACAAACAAACAAACAAACAAACAAACAACATCTTTTAAAAAGAAAATCAGGACTCACCATAGAGGTGTCCAGGCTGAATGTGCTTCCGAGCCTAGGCACATCTGCTCTGGGTTCAATTTGTGAGGGCAATGAAAATGGAAGTGAGTGCCGGTTGGTTAATTCTCTCCCTGTCCAGGGATCACTAAGGTTTGGGGTAACTACTGGTACTCTGGGGATTGGCCTAGGAAGCCATGATTCCCCAAAGCGGCTAGACGGGACAGGGGGTAATCTGTCCCTGGATGGACAGTCGGCTGGTGTACAAGGCAAGGGGCGTCTCTGAGGCCGGGTTTCAGCTCCAACAGAATACAGTCGGTCTGGAGGGGGTGGCGGTGGAAGATCTCTAAGTGTGGGAGGTACTGGTAATGGCTTGTCCTTATGAAGGGAGCCAGAAGCTGCCTGTGGAAGCGAGATAGAAGCAAATCAATCAAAGCCCACCAACCCACAACAAAGAACCAGTAAACTGCACAAACAGATAATGCTTTACCTTAGAAGCAGTTCCAACACTAGACACACTTGAAGGGATAGACACTCGTTGTTGCAGAAGGTCAAGTCGTGGTGGCACTGGGGGAAGGGAAGCTTGGGGGGCCATGGAGAATGGAGATGGAGGCCGTTCCACCTAACAAACAAAATCTCCTAATGGATTATTCTTGTTTGGGAGTGGCATGTTTCAACTCCTTCGGAAGATGTAGATATCAAGTCCTACACGAATACCACCTTTAACTATCAATGGGTCAGACTTTGGCCTGGGGTACCACTTTCTGAATTATTTTCATGTCACTGTAAGAAGTCAGATTCAATCACAGAAATACCATACAGATATAATCTACAGGCAAATGTATAAAAAAATGGCTGTGCTACAAAAAGCCTCCTAGCTTACAACTTTTAAAACAAATTTACAATTTCCACCTCCTCATTTTCAGAGAAAGAAAAAAATCTTTTCAATATTAAAAACAGGAACCCAGCACTGGCCAGTGTGGCTCACTTGATTGGAACACTGTCCCCTAAACTGAAAAGTCACAGGTTTGAACACCAGTCGGGGCACATACCTAGGTTGTGGGTTTGGTCCCCGGTCCAGGCACATACCAGAGGCAACTTGATGTTTGTCTCCCTTTCTCTCTCCCTCCCTACCCCTCTTTCTAAAATCAACTGGCATGTCCTCAGGTGAGGATAAACAAAACAAAACAAACAGAAACCTATATAAAAAGAAAGAAACAGACATTCACCTCTCAACATATCACCTGCGAAAATAATGTTTACAAAGCAGAACAAGAAATTCAAGCCAAGATGGAGGCACAGGTAGATATACCTTGCCTCCTCACACAACCAAAAGAAGGACAACAACTTTAAAAACAAAAAATAACCTGAACTTCCAGAAAATCAAACTGTATGGAAGTCCAACAACCAAGGAGTTAAAGGAGAAACATTCATTCAGACTGGTATGAGGGACAGAGACAGGCAGCTGAGGCTGAGAGGATACTCAGCAAGGCAGTGGCTGGAAGACCTGAGCAGGAGAGTCAGCAGCTGTTGGACTCTGCAGTTCCACATTTGTATGCGGATAAACGAGGAGGAACAACTGGGGAGCAAGACAGACTGCGCAACCCAGAGTTCCAGCATGGGGAAATAAAGCCTCAAAACTCTAGTGATAAAAACCTGTGGAGCTTGGGGTGACAGGAGGAACTCCCAGCTTCACAGGAGAGTTCACTGGAGAAACCCACAGGGTCCCAGAAAGTACACAAACCTACCCATCCAGGAATCAATACCAGAAGGGCTCAATTCTGCTTGTGGGTAGCAGGGGAAGTGACTGAAAGCTGTCAGAAGCCCAGCAAGTGGCAGTGTTCCATCTCTGATTCCACCGCATACAGCGCCACAATGCAGCGGTGAGGGTTGCCCACCCTGGTAAATACCTAAAGCTCTGCTCATTACAACCTAAAAGCTGTGCTGAGGAAAAAAAAAATATGGCCCAAATGAAAGAAAAGATCAAAGCTCCAAAAACAGAACTAAGTGATGAAGAGAGCCAAGCTATCAGATGCAGAGTTCAGAACACTGGTAATCAGGATGCTCACAGAAATAGTTGAGTATGGTCACAAAATGGAGGAAAAATTAAAGGCTATGCAAAGTGAAATGAAGAGAAATGTACAGGGAACCAACAGTAAAAAGAAAGAAACTGGGACCCAAATGAACGATTTGGAGCTAGGAAGAATAAACATTCAACCAGAACAGAATGAAGAAACAAGAATCCCAAAAAACGCTGTGGCTGGTATGGCTCAGTGGATTAAGTGCCAGCCTATGAACCAAAGGGTCACTGGTTTGATTCCCAGTCAGGGCACATGGTTTGCAGGCTAGGTCCCTGATAGGGTGCACAAGAGGCAACCACACATTGATGTTCTTCTCCCCCTTTATCTACCCCCTTCCACTCTCTCTAAAAATAAATAAATAAAATCTTTAAAAAAAAAAAGAAATTCAAAAAAATGAGGAGAGGCTTAGGAACCTCCGGGACAACTTTAAATGTTCCAACATCCAAATCATACAGGTACCAGAAGGAGAAGAGGTAGAGCAAGAAATTAGAAACTTATTTGAAAAAGTAATGGAGAACTTCACCACTGTAATAAAGAAAATAGACTTCCAGGAAATCCAGGAAGCTCAGAGAGTCCCAAAGAAGTTGGAACCAAGGAGGAACACACAAAGGTACATCATCACTAGACTACCCAAGAGTAAAGATAAGGAGAGAATCTTAAAAGCAGCAAGAGAAAAGGAGACAGTTACCTACAAAGGAGTTCCCATCAGACTGTCAGCTTCTCAAAAGAGACCTTACAGGCAAGAAGGAACTGGAAAGAAGTATTCCAAGTCGTGAAAAGCCAGGACCTACATTCAAGATTACTCTATCCAGCAAAGCTATCATTTAGAATGAAAGGGCAGATAAAGTGCTTCCCAGATAAGGTCAAGTTAAAGGAGTTGATCATCACCAAGCCCTTATTATATGAAATGTTAAAGGGACTTATCTAAGAAAAAGATTAAAAATATGACCATTAAAATGACAACAAACTCACAACTATCAACAACTGAACCGAAAAAGTGAAAACAAAAACTAAGCAAACAACTAGAACTGGAACAAAATCACAGAAATGGAAATCACATGGAGGGTTATTAGTTTGGAGGGGGAGAGGGTGAATGGGGAAAAAAGTACAGAGAATAAGCATAAATGGTAGGTACAAGATAGACAAGGGGAGGTTAAGAACAGTATAGGAAATGGAGAAGCCAAAGAATTTATATGTAGGACCCATGGACATGAACTAAGGTGCAGGGAGTGCAGGTGGAAGAGGGTGTGCAGAGCAGAAGGGAATAAAGCAGAGAAAATGGGACAACTATTAGCATAATCAATAAAATATACTTAAAAATGAAAAGAAAAGAGGCAGAACAACAAAAGAGATCAAAGATAATAAATTCTCAGTGGGTTGTTACTATAAAAAAGAAAAAAAGAGCTTTGTAAGAGGAGAACAATCAATATCTCTGAAAAGCATATTGAATCCTTCTGAAGAAATATAATTAAAATGAGGAAATTCAATTCAATAATTAAAAGGGATTAGTATTTTCTGCTAATCTGTGTTCTAAAAAAATGAGGTACAGTCCTGGCTGATTAGCTCAGCAGATTGAGTGCAGGCCTGCAAACCAGACAACTGTGGTTCGATTCCCAGTCAGGGCACATGCCTGGGTCGCAGGCCGGTTCCCTGCAGGCCAGTTCCCAGCAGGGGATGCCCAAAAGGCAACCATACATTGATGTTTCTCTCCCTCTCTCCTTCCCTTCCCCTCTAAAGATAAATAAATAAAATCTTTTAAAAAAGAGGTACAAATTAGAAGAAACAGTACATGTATAACCTTTTCCATTCCCTTGCCTGTAGCAGGGTGATGAAGAGCTGAAAAAGTTGTCCAAGTAACTGTCAAGAGATATACAGCAAGTCATACAAACACTTCTCTGCATTTGCATTCTCTAACAGAGAGAAATACAGAAGGAATAGAGGCAAATAATTATTACAAGCACTTATGTAGAATGATAGAAAAATAGCCATCCCCATACTTAGTCCTGTCATTAATGCTATATGATGAATGAGAGTAAAGAAAGCTCTTATCATTAGCTACTTGCTTTTACTCATGCTGTAGAAAATGGGTCTCATGTCAATGGAGTATGAGCAATGCAATATGAGTAGCTGAATTTCCAAACGGTTAGAATATCCCCCATCTATATTTCATTCTACTTACCAACCTTGGACCTGATTTATTAAAACTGCCTTCTAATTATTCTCCCAACTTCTACTTTGTATCTCACCAAATCCTTTTGCTCACCATTACTATTTTAGCTATCCTTAAATACTGACTAGTTCAAAACCATCCATCGGTAACTCTCATTTCCCCACCACTCTTTATTCTGGAATTCCCACCTATTTGCCTTTGTTCAAACTGCTTCCCAATTTGAAAGGCCCTCTCTACCTATTTTGATCGCTCGCAGCATCCAACTTTCTCATTCCTAAACCACAGAGGGTTAAGCTCATCATATTCCTCAATTCATGGCACCACATCATAACCAATCCCTGCAATGATCATTTATCTCAACATATAATAAAGTTCCAAAAACAGAAAATCACAAATGGTAAAGAAATTATCTCAGAAAGAATACAAAACATTTCCAAGAACTAAGGGTATAAACATCCATATAAAAGGGTTCCCTGAAGAGCTAGCCCAGTGAAGGGAAAGAAACCCATAACAAACACACAAACCACCCCAAAGCATCCTTAAACTTTCAGATAATCAAGGATAACAAAAATATCCTAAAAGCTTCTGGGGGTTGAGGGTACCAAACAGCATAATTACACAAGAAATCACATGAAGCTGTAACGGTTTAGAATTGAATTTTTTCAACCTAGACTTCTATAATTACTCAGTTTGAGGGTTGAATAAAGACATTTTAAGATAGCAAATGTTCAAAAATTTTACCTCACACCTTTCAAAGAAAGCTATTTTGAGGACATATTCCACCCAAACAAGGAAGTAAAGCAAAAAGAAGGAAAACATGAGAACCAAGAAATAGGCACTACAACACACAGTAGAGGTAATGAAGTCCTATGATAATGAGGGCAAGTAGAGATCTCAGGGGGACAGAGGATACAGCATGCTCAGAGAATAACCAGTCTAGACTGGGGTTGAAACATGGAAGACTACTCTATATAGTAAGTATGCTATTAGGTTGGCCAAATAGTCTGTAAAATAAAGACATTTTTCATTTTCACCAATAACTTTATTGATTGGGATATGTTGAGTATGTTAGATATCTCCCACTATTAGCTTCTAGTGGGTTGAGGCCAAGGGTGCTACTAAACACTTTCCAATGCATAAGATACCCTCACAACAAAGAATTATTAGGCAAAAATGTCAACAGTACCAAGTAACTTTGCAAACCACTTTTGACACGTTTGATCAATCACAGTACCTTCTCCATACAATGGACAAATCTCATTTCTGTCTATTTCAGTTGTGTTTTTACTTTTATTGAAATAATAAAGTATAGTACACCAAAAATGTTGCATGTCTTCTTCCATCTTCAATATTAAAATGGCTACACAAAAA